CGATTTTTAATATTTCTGATACTTTCATTGATACTCTACTTTGTAGAAAACAAGATGTCGATTGATATGAACAAGAACTACTTTAAACTGCTGAAAGGTTTCCGTCGGCAGGACTTGGTAAGCTTTGCAAACCGAATTTCCTATGATGCACTTTGACGAAAATGTACTTCTGACATGTGGTCTCATATGTGTTGATTCTTATTTGGCTGTAACAGCAAGTCTTGTAGAATGTTATTCTTGCGTTTCTCCTTGACCCTTTTCATAATTGCACGCGATTCCATCTCTCACTTTTTGTCGTTTTTTCAAGTCAGAGCTATGATTTATCCATTTCAACATGAACTTGGTAAAGCAGACGATTCAACATGGCCTGATATTTCGTCAGACACTTAATGATGAACAGAATTATCATCAGAATGACTCATGTTGCATATGCTTATGCTGTCCGAGAACGAGCTATTGTTTGGCAACTCCAACATAGACACAAAAGAAAACAAATATGATTCTTGTGCTACACTTCATATTGTCTCTTCTCGCCGTAGTCAGAACACAATTTTTTCCAAATTCTTCTCATTGAGCACTATTTCAATTTGCTTTAACAAATGGCAAACTGCTCCTACCAATGTCCTGAATTACATGCCTTCATCGTCATATTTACCTTCTCCAACATCACTTTTTCAACAAAATATGAATCAAACATGGCTCTTTGCACTATGAGAGAAATGAAATCAACCGTTTCAGGCACAATTCGTCGATGATCATGATAGACTGTTCAAAGTTGCCAAGGATACCGAAGATCACCTGGCTGTTACTTCGCACTACTACAGTGTTATGTCTTCTGTGATAAACGATTTCTTCGGAGGTACATATATCTCTGACATGGGGGTTTTCAAATTGTTTTCTTTGAAGGAAATTTTCATTTCGCAGCTCCAAAAGATAAGACCGGAACTATGGAACAAGCTCTTTACGACTTACATCAGTAAGAGATTACTTTATCTAACACATTACCAATCTCTTGCTCTCATTGAATATATTGAAACGTTTTCTTGTATTCTTCAAATCAGGATTGAAAAAGTTGATCTATCCCTAACCTGATGTTATCATTCTAGGTACATTGGGCAGAAGCTTGATCTGAAGAGTGATGTTTCCTGTTTGGATATTGGATGTGGAATCGGAGGTGTTATCAAGGACCTGGCCAACACAGAGGCTACTTTGACCGGAATAACCATAGCACCAAATGAAGCTGAAATGGGTGAGTGAGAATGAGCAGAACAGAAACACAACCGTTCCTCGCCGCAAAACTTGTTCAAATATTTTGAGTTGCGTTCGCTCTCTCACTTGTTATTTACACGTAGAAACAACATGAAACAGATTTTCTTGCTATCTTAAAGTTCAAATGGTTCAGGAAATGAAGATATGAGAGCTCTTGGCATTTCCGAAAGATGTTCTCTCGTGGTTGGAGACTGTCACAACATGCCACTGAACAACCAATCTTTTGATGCAGCCTATGCCGTATATGCTTTGAAATACTTCCCTCGGTTGTCTGGAGTAGTGAAAGAGGTATGAAGAGTGAACTGACCTCTTCCATTTCCTGTTTAAGGTCTCTCGTATTCTCAAACCCAATGGCAAGTTCTTAATTTATGACTTGATCAAAACTGATAAGTATGATGAGAAGAATGAAGAGCATCGCCAAGTAAGTCATGATGAATCTGCTCTCATCTACTGTGTGTATAGTGCGTTGAAGGTCTTGAGTATGCTTGTGGCATGCCATCATTACATACCAAAGAAGAGATGGTTCAAGCAGCTGCTGACTACGGACTCGAGCTGGTATGTAACAGTTCTTAATCTGTTATAAACAAACTTTTAGATAGAGGAAGAAGATCTATCAGAGATTAACGGTTCCAGTTATCACTACTGTTTCTCACACTCTCCCCTCTTCATGTGGCTTGTAAGGAGTCCTGCAATAGGTATATCATCTCATTTATATGTTCTGGAATTCTTCCACCTTAGGTCATTTGATTCGTTTGGGTGAGAGCTTGAACATACTACCAAAAGGATTTTTACAATTCAATAAGATCTTCCTGGCCGGAACAGTTGATAAGATTGTGCGTGGTGGAGAAATGGGCATATTGTCCGGATCCCAAATATTCGTGTTTCAAAAGAAGAACTGAATCTGCTAACAGTAGTAGTGGTATATCGCTGCTAGCTGGACCACCTAATCACCCTTTCTTAGAAATACTGCATTTCTAACATATTTAATAACAAAACAATAACTTTTCTCTATATAAGCTCGTTTTTTTCCATTTAAGGTATCAAAAGACTGAGAGTCTAGCATGCATGACACCCACAATATGTAGATCACACATTTTCTCTAGTTGAATTAGGCGGACGCTACGCGACACGCAA